TTAGTGAGGCCTTAAGCAGTTTAGCAAAACTTTGTCTCAAAATAAAATGTAAAAAGGGCTGGGGGTGTAGCTCAGTGGTTAAGCACCCCTGGGTTCAATCCCTGGTACCAAAACAAACGAACAAAAAAAACCTAATCAATCAGGAAGGAAAGGAAAAACGGATCAATGTTGAGACATTTTGGCAGTTTGTTAAGTGCCAAAGTCATTGGATTAACATGTAAGACACTTAAATACTAGCCAACAATCTACATGGAAGAATTCAGGGGGCTGGAGATATAGCTCAGTTGGTAGAGTGATGGCCTCACATATACGAGGCCCTGGGTTCAATCCCCAGCCCTGCCCCCCCCCCCAAAAAAAAAAAAATTCAGCAAATAGCATTTGTTTACTGTTCCTATGGTGTGTTCCCTGTTCTGTGGAATCTACTGGATCATCAGGTAACAAAAATGACCCCAGAACGAAAATTAATATCAAAACACTAATTTCTTATGAAAACGAACTAGGATTATTGGGAATACTTGAGGAATAGCTGATTCTAAAAGCTAGGTATGGTGGTGCACACCTGTAATTGAAGCTACTTGAAAGGCTGAGGTGGGATCATAGAGATCAGCCAGGGGAACATAGTAAGAACCAGTCTTAAGAAAAAAAACTGGGGCTAGGGTTGTGGCTCACTGGTAGAGTGCTTGCTTGACACCTGTGAAGCACCAGGTTCCAGCCTCAGCGTCCCATAAAAATAAATAAATAAAGGTTAAAAAAATTCTTCTCAAAAATCTTTAAAAAAAAAAAAAAGCCCTAATTCTAGATATAGAGCACATAATAAATATCAAATGTGAAATGTCTTGTCAGAAGAACTCCACAGCCAATTTTATGTATCTATGACCAAGTGTGGAACAATTTGAGCATCTGATAAGGTTAGTAACTCATGGATGAATACAATGAATGGAAGCATGAAATAAATTTAAATCTGGGTCATATTGATACAAGAAAGAAAACAAATTGATACAAGGAGTCATGAGGGAACTATTTGAAGTTATAGAAGTGTTCTATATTTTGGGCTAGGAATGTGTGGCTCAGTGGTTGAGTACTTACTTAGTGTACATGAGGCTCTGGGTTCAATCCCCAGAATGATGCAAGTAAAAAAAGGTATTCTATATATTGCTTCACTTTGCATGATGGCAGACACCTGTAATCCCAGTGATTTGGGAGACTGAGGCAGGAAAATTACAAATTCAAGGCCAGCCTGGGCAATGTAGCAGAACTGTGTCTTAAAATAAAAAGGGTTGGGAATCTAGCTCAGTGGTAGAGTTTGCAATTAAGCTCTTTTGTTCAATCCTAGTAACAAAAAAAAAAAGTCTTATCTTGCGTCTATCTTGTTTGTATTAGTGGTTGCTCAACTCTATGTGTTTGTCTATACTATGGTTTCTCTCAGCATTATCAACATTTTTAAGCCAGGTAATTTTTTGTTGTATTGGAGGAAATAAATAAATAGATGGGTGGTCTTGAGCATTGTAGAATGTTTAGCAGCACTGAATGTCAGACATGAAAATCAAAAAGGGCTTCAGATACTACCAGATGTCTCCTAGACAGCAAAATGGCCCCAGTTGAGAACTCTAAGCTTATGTAATGGATAAATTTTATGATATGTAAAATATATCTCAACAAACTTGATTTTTCAGGAAACTTATTGGTCACCTTTAGAGGAGTCTAGGAAATTAACCTTTTATTTATTTATTTTTTAAAATATTTTTTTAGTTCTGGTGGACACAATGCCTTTATTTTTATTTATTTGTTTTTATGTGCTGCTGAGACAGAGTCTTGCTAAGTTGCCAAGGCTGACCTCAAACTTGCAGTCCTTCTTTCTCAGCCTCCCAAAGTGCTGGGATTACAGGCATGTGCCACACCAGGCTCCACAGGAACATTGTTTTAACATTAATTCAGTAAGTATTAATAAAGTAAAGCTGAATTTGAAAAATACATCTCATTAAAGACACACTGTGTTTTCTGGACATGTTTCATTTTACACATTAGATTTAATCCAATGAATCTATTTCAGATCATGAAGCATTTGTGTGTTCAGTCATGCTGAAAGGTAGTATTGATTAACATATCACTTATTCCAGAGAAACATCAGGTATCTGGCTACAGCCCCAAATGAGGAAATAAAAGTCTCCTCTCTAGGTAACAGAAACAGATGTTTTCATAATACACAATACTTTATCTATTTAAATAATAGTAATTTTATTAATCTGAAAAGTCAAAGTAAATTAGAGGTAGCAAATTAGAAAGGAAAAGGGAGAATAGAAGAGATTGTACTATTAATTGCTGAGAAACATACAACTAGAAATGATAAAATATAATGCCAAGAAAACTACATGAATGGCCTCCAGATTCATCCCAATATCAACTACTTGGTTACTGTGAGGTAAAGCTAATGTAGGAGAGAGAATAAATACTTGATTCTGTTTTAAATCATCAGTTTTAAAAATAAAAGGTGGGGGCTGGGTTGTGGCTCAGTGATAGAGTGCTTGCCTAGTGTGGGTGAGACACTGGGTTCAATCCTCAGCACCGTATAAAAATAAAGCTATTGTGTCCATCTCCAACTAAAAAAAAGGAAAAGGGCTGAGGATGGACTGTGTGGTTATGTACCCCTGGGTTCAGTCCCCAGTATCCATAAAAAGAATGCAGCATTCGTAAAATTATTTCAGAGATCATATGAATAGGGAAGGAAAATCCCTACAGTGTCTTTGTAACTATATGAGAACTAGCTGTTTTTAAAGTTACCAAGGAGGCCTTATTTCAGTTTATTTTAGTATTGCCCAAGTTTCTTTTTTCTTTCTTTCTCATAGGAGATTAGGGTTTTGACTTATCATGGTGGTCTTCTTGGAAGATCATGATTTCAGCACACCTCTTCCCTTTGAGGAAAAAGAAGTGTTTAACAGCCATGGCTGTTTTAGAAACTGATGCTAGAGGCAATCATTGGCCTGGGCAAGACTGTTATTAAACTGTGCCTCTGATTTTCTAGTTACTTTCATCTTGGAAAGTAAAGTCTTTAATATATTTCATAACTTAACCAATGTCACATTTTAAGATTAAACTGTTCTTTTTCTAAAAAAAAAAACAAAACTGTTATTAAAAGACAGGCGAGCCCTGTGTGGTGGCTCATGCCTGTAATCTGAGTAACTTGGGAGGATCAAGCTTAAGGCCAACCCTGGCAATTTTTAGGGAGACCCTGTCTCAAAATAAATAAATGAAAGGGCTGGGGATGTAGCTCAATAGTAGAGTGGTCCTGAGTTCAGTCCCCAGTACTAGAAGAAATGAAACAAGGGGAAGCAACAAATTCTGGCATGATATTGAAGCTTTGCTGGCATTTCATCTCTCTTTAAAAATCTATGTTTTTATTTATTTTTTCTTTTTTTAGAGTTAGGGTCTTGCTATGCCACTCAGGCTCGCCTCCAGCTTCTGTGCTCAAGCGAACCTCTTACTTTAAGCCCTCCAATGTAGCTGGAACTATAGGTACAAGCCATCATACCCAGCCCCTGCTTTGTAAAATTAACATTTATTTATTTATTTGAAGTAATAGAGATTGAACCCAGGGTCACTTTACCATTGAACCACATCTTATGCCCTTCTTGTTTTCAATTTTGAGACAAGGTCTTACTGAGTTGCTAAGACTGGTCATGAACTTGTGATCCTCCTGCCTCAGCCTCCCTAGACACTGGGATTAATACAGACACATGATGATATGCCAACCTCCCCCCCCTTTTAAATGAAATTTGAAATTATTATTTCTAACCTCATACCCAATTTTTTTGAAAGGGAATATCATGCTCCATACATTCTTTATTTTATTTGTTTTTATGTGGTGTTGAGGATTGAACCTAGTGACTCAACATACTAGGCCTGCACTCTATCACTGAGCTACAACCTCAGCCCTCATACCTTTTTTTTTTTTTTTTGGTACCAGGCATTGAACTCAGGGGCACTCAACCACTGAGTCACATCCACAGCCCTTTTTATATTTTATTTAGAGACAGGATTTCACTGAGTTTTTTAGGGCCTCAGCCTCCCGAGCCACTGGGATTATAGGTGTGCGCCACCTTGCCCGGCACTCATATCCAATTTTTTTAAAAAATATTTATTTGGTTGTAGATGAACACACAGTATCTTTATTTATTTTTATGTGGTGTTGAGGATTGAACCCAGTGCCTCACACATGCAAGGCAAGCACTTTACCACTGAGCTATAGCCTCAGCCCCCTCATATCCAATTTTTTAAAAACTTTTTTTAGTTGTAGATGGACAATATATATATATTTTAATGTGGTGCTAAGGATCGAACCCAGGACCTCACACTTGCAAGGCAAGTGCTCTACCACTGAGCTACAGCCCCAGCCTCTCATACCCAACTTTTGTATTTGAGTTGGACACAGTTGTGCATGCCTACAGTTCCAGCAACTTGGAGGCTGAGAATGGAAGATCACAAGTTGTAGTTCAGCCTCAACAATGTAGTATGACCCTGTCTTAAAAAAAAAAAAAAACAACAGAATGGACTGCCCCAATGTAGCTGAGTGATAAAGCACCTCTGGGTTCAACCCTAGCACTAAGCATGCAAGCATGCACACATACGCACACATACATACACACACACCTTTGAAATCATAGTTTAATTCCCAGTACTGAAGACAAAACAAAACCTTGAAGAGATTGAAGCTTAGTGGACTATACCTTCAGTCCTAGCTATTCAGGAGGCTGAGGCAGAAGGATCATTAGTTTGAGGCCAACCTGGGCAATTTAGGGAAACCCTATCTCAAAATAAAAAAAGTAGCAGGGTTCAGGAATGTAGCTTAATGATAAAATGTCCCTGGCTTCAATCCCCAGTAATGGTGGAAAACAAAAATCCTTGAATAAACAGTGCTGTGAATGAATGTGAGATGTCATTGAGATGCCTGTGTCTGTCATTGCCTATCAATTACCCATGTTGACCCTGGTCTCCCTTAATTTCAGGTGATCATGGAGCTCAGCTTGGCCTCCATGGGGCTGGTGGTGATGGGATACATGATGACACAGCAGGTGGAGAAGAAGGAGAGAACAGCCCAGATCCCCAACCCCAAGCTGGTCGGAGGACCCGGCGAGAAGCATGCACCTGCCCTTACTGTAAAGACAGTGAAGGAAGGTAAGTTTACCCAGTTGACTCTTTTGAATATAAAGAAAAATTAATGGGGGGCTGGGGATGTGGCTCAAGCGATAGCGCGCTCGCCTGGCATGCGTGTGGCCCGGGTTTGATCCTCAGCACCACATACAAACAAAGATGTTGTGTCCGCCAAAAACTAAAAAATAAATATTAAAATTCTCTCTCTCTCTCTCTTAAAAAAACAAAAAACAAAGAAACAAGAAGAATTAATGGACTAGAAAGTAAAATGAAGAGAGTTAATTTTTTAATATTTAAGACTCAGCAATGTTTTTTTTTTAACAACTTGATTTCTTTTCTCTCTCCTTTTATTTATTTATTTTTTTAGTTGTTGATGGACCTTTATTTATTTACTTATTTTATTTATATGTGGTGCTGAGAATGGAACCCAGGGCCTCACACATGCTAGGCAAGTGCTCTACCACTGAGCCACAACCCCAGCCCTTGTTTTGTTTTTTGTACTGGGGAATGAGCCCTAGGGCACTTTACCACTGAGCCACATCCTCAGCCCTTTATACAATTTGAGACAGGGTCTCACTAAGTCGATTAGGGCCTCTCTAAATTGCTGAGGCTGGCCTTGAATTTGGGATTCTCCTGCCTCAGTCTCCTGAGTCTCTGGGATTTCAGGTGTGTGCCATCACACCCAGCCATATTATGGGACTTTGATTCCAGCTCTAATCTTTCATTCTTCACTCTTACAATTTAGGGACTTAAAGGTTTCCACTTCCACCCAGAGTTAAGGAAATCAGATGGATTTAACTGGTATAATAATTACCATCAAATGTCTATTTTAAGATGATTTTAACAAGATTGCTTGTAGAAAAGCAAAGAAAAACCTACCTTCTGTAATGATTTCTTTTTTTTTTTAACATTTTTAGTTGTAGATGGATACAGTACCTTTATTTATTTGTTTACTTATTTTTATGTGGTATGGGGGCTCAAACCCAGTGCCTCACGCATGCTAGGCAAGCGCTCTACCACTGAGCCACAACCCCAACCCTGTAATGATTTCTTACAGTGGTTTTGTGAGTATCATGAGATTCCCAGACTATTGCTTTCACTGAAAATAAAAAATGCTTACTTCAGATAGAAAATTTTTCCATCAGGGAATCTAAAAGATCCTGCAAAGTTCTGACAAATTTTTTCATCAGTAGCACCTATTATTTACCTCCGGTGAGTTCTAAGTACTATTCTTTTCCTTGAAGTCACTGTTTTTGAAAAAGAACAGAAAGTAGTATCTCTCTTTTTTTAAAATTTATTTTTTAGTTATAGTTGGACACAATACCTTTATTTCACTTATTTATTTTTATGTGGTGCTGAGGATCGAACCCAGGGTCTTGCATGTGTGAGGCAAGTGCTCTACCGCTGAGCCACAACCCCAGCCCAGAAAGTAGTATCTTTTAAATGCTCTTTAAAATTCTATTCCCGGGCTGGGGATGTGGCTCAAGCTGTAGCGCGCTCACCTGGCATGCGTGCGACCCGGGTTCGATCCTCAGCACCACATACAAACAAAGATGTTGTGTCCGCCAAATACTAAAAATAAATATTAAAATTCTCTCTCTCTCTAAAAAAATAATTTAATTAATTAAAAAAAAGTAAATAAATAAAATTCTGTTCCCAACCAGGTGTGGTGGCACATGTCTGTAATCCCAGCAGCTTGAAAAGCTGAGGCAGGAAGATCGAAAGTTCAAAGCTAGCTTCAGCAACATAGTGAGATCCTGCATCAAAATAAAAAGGGCTAGGGATGTGGCTTAGGTCTTGAGTGCCCCTGGGTTCAATCCCTAGTATTAAAGTGAAAAAATAAATTAACAAAATAAAAATCTGTTAGCCCCTGATGGGGAGAATCACAGCCTCTGGGACAGGAGTCCCTGTGTTTCTCCTTTGCTAGCAAAGCAATAACACTTTTTTTTTTTTTTTCTTTTTCTAAACAAAAACTGTTTAAAGTTTTATTCCATTAAATAAGCAAGCACAAAAATATAAAAATAAGAAAGTACCAAAACAGAAAATAAATTGAGTTTTTCTTGTTTATCCTGCATTATAGAAAAGTGGCAGGAGGATCACAAGTTCAAGGCCAAACTCAGCAACTTAGGGAGGCCCTAAGCAACTTAGCTAGACACTGTCTTAAAATAAGAAATAGAAAAGGACTGGAAATGTAGATCATTTGTAAAGCACCTCTGGCTTCAATCTCCAGTACCAAAAAATAAATAACAACAAAAAGAAGCAGAATCTGCTAGATTGATTATTTTTTAAATACTGGAGATTGAACATAGGCATGCTTTACCACTAAACTACATCCCCAGCACCCCCCCCCCCCTTTTTTTTTTTTCTGAGATAGGGTCTCTTTGGGTTGCCCAGTCTGGTCTTGAACTTGTGATCCTTCTGCCTCAGCCTCCCTAGTAGCTGGGATTACGTGCATGCTCTGCTATACCTGTCTAGATTTATCTTTTTTAAAAATAAAAGTTTAGAGTTTGGGGTTAAAGCTCAGTACTAAGTACCTGTGGAGCATGCAGGAGGCCCTAGGTTCAAGCCCCAGCACTGCAAAAGAGAGAAAGAAAGGAAGGAAGGAAGAAAAGATTGGGTTAAAACCAGATGCCCTGTTGCATGCCTATAACCTCAGGGACTTTAGAGACAGAAGCAGGAGGGTTACAAGTTTGAGGCCAGCCTGGGCAACCTAGTGAGATCCCATCTCAAAAAATAAAAAGGGCCAGGCATGGTGGTGAATGCCTATAATCTCAGTGGCTCTGGAGGCTGAGGCAGGAGGTTTCCAAGTTCAAAGCTAGCCTCAGCAATTTAGCAAGGCTCTAAGCAACTCAGTGAGACCCCGTCTCTAAAAAAAAATACAAAAAAGGACTGGGGATGTGGTTCAGTGATTAAGTGCCCTTGAGTTCAATCCCTGGTACCAAAAAAAATAAAAATAAAAAATAAAAGGGGCGCTGGGGTTGTGGCTCAGTGGTATAGCACTTGCCTAGCATGTGTAAGGCGCTGGGTTTGATCCTCAGCACCACATAAAAATAAATAAATAAAAATAAAGGTGTTCTGTTCAACTACAACTAAAAAATAAATATTAAAAGAAATAAAAAGAAATAAAAAATAAAAGGGCTTGGGGCTAGGCATGGTGGCACATGCCTATAATCCTAGTGGCTTAGACGGCTGAGGCAGGAGGATTGAGAGTTCAAAACCAGCCTCAGCAATTTAGCAAGGCTCTAAGCAACTAATCAGAACCCTATCTCTAAATAAAATATAAAATGGGCTGGGGTTGTGGCTCAGGAGTTAAGTGCCCTGGGTCCGATCCCCATACTTAAAAAAAGAAAATGAAAAAAAGGGGTTTGCAATATAGCTATTGCTGTTAATATTTTATGCTTCTTTAATTTCAGTCTTCAGAGTGAGTGATAATAGTTGTGTTCTCAATTTCAGGGGTTCTGGTGATCCTGGCAAAAAGAAACAGCATATTTGCCACATTCAAGGCTGTGGCAAAGTATATGGCAAGACCTCACACCTACGGGCACATTTGCGCTGGCACACAGGCGAGAGGCCATTCATGTGTACCTGGTCATATTGTGGGAAACGTTTTACACGTTCGGATGAGCTGCAGAGACATAAACGCACTCACACAGGTAAGCTAGAGCCTAGGGAAAAAAAATAGTAATAGGACAGAATGGAAAGACAGAAGATATGTCTGTGAAATAGCTAAAATTTCCAAGCAACTTATGTGTGGAAGTGAATATGTAGACCATAAATGGAATTGGAATTGATCTAAAAAATTTGAAGATGGAAGAAACTATAGATTTCAAGTTGACTTTGAAGAGAAGCACTGACCCCCATTGCTCTTGTTTTTTTTTTTTTTTTTAATAATTATTTTTTAGTTTTAGGTGAACATGATATCTTTATTTTATTTCTATGTGGAGCTGAGGATCAAACCCAGTGCATCCTGCATGCTAGGCAGGCACTCTGCCATTGAGCCACAACCCCAGCCCCCCCATTGCTCTTCTTGGTCTTTGTCCTACCTACTTTCCTGCTAAGTTCTGCCTTGCTTTACTCAGTATTAACCAACCTTTATCTATTTTTCTTCCCCAAGAAAGGAAACGATACTTGCTAGGTTGCTGATGTTCTTGTCACCTTCTAAGGCTGACTTTATTCTATCTCATGTAATTATTTATTTATCTCTTTGTTTATTTACATATTTATGGTTCTGAGGATCACCCCAGGAGCATTTTACCATGCAGCTACATCTCCAGTCCTTTTGTTATTTATTTAATTTTGGAGTGGGTACTAGGTATTGAACTCAGGGGCACTCAACTACCAAGCCACATCTCCAGCCCTGTTTTGTATTTTTAGAGACAGGGTCTCACCAAGATGCTTAGCACCTCACTGTTACGGAGGCTGGCTTTGAACCTGGGATCCTCCTGCCTCAGCCTCCCTAGCACCTGGGATTACAGGCGTGCCCCACCGTGCCCAGCTTGTTTTTTATTTTGAGACAGGCTTTTGCTAAGTTACCTAGGGCCTGAATTGCTGAGGCTGACCTCCTGCCTCAGCCCCCTGAGTTATTTGAAATGTAGGTGTGAGCCACCGCACCTGATGTAGTTTGAAGGTGGTAAATTAGGCAAGATATCTCCACTTCCTGACATGTCAGCTTCTTACCTTTTTTCTCTCCCTTTATCTAGGTGAGAAGAAATTTGCCTGCCCTGAGTGTCCTAAGCGCTTCATGAGGAGTGATCACCTGTCAAAGCATATCAAGACCCACCAGAATAAGAAGGGAGGCCCAGGTGTAGCCCTGAGTGTGGGCACTTTGCCCCTGGACAGTGGGGCAGGTTCAGAAGGCAGCGGCACTGCCACCCCTTCAGCCCTTATTACCACCAATATGGTAGCCATGGAGGCCATCTGTCCTGAGGGTATTGCCCGTCTTGCCAACAGTGGCATCAATGTCATGCAGGTGGCGGATCTGCAGTCCATTAATATCAGTGGCAATGGCTTCTGAGATCAGGCACCCGGGGCAAGAGACCTATGGGCCAATACCCATCAATCCCCGGGATGCAAGTTAGCATGGGTCCAAGAGACATGTGGGAGAGAGAGAGCCATGAGGCATTAAAATGCATGGTGGTGGGAAGAGTTTGGGGATGGATACAAAGAAGAGACAGGGTTCTGACACCCACCCGTATCATCAGTGCCTCCTTACAGGTGGGAAACATCAGTGAAAATTCTGTTGGTGCCACCCTTTGATGAGCATTTGTTTGATCCCAGTTTCTTCTTATACTTCTTACCCCAGTCTCCCATTCCTTTGTTTCCCCTTCTCAGCTCTCCCATGATGGATCCCCCCCCCTTACCTAAAGCCATCATGCCTTGATAAATATATATGATCATTGAAATACTTTTTAACAAAAAACAGATTCTATATTATATATATATATATATGCATATATATATAAAGATATATAGAGATGCATTCACAGGGGTTGGCTGGGAGGAGGAAGGAGACCATTCTGTGACCAAAATACCTTGGTCATTTTTTTTTTTTTTTTATATTGCCTTATTTCCTTAGGGCTGAGCCTTATTGTGACACATCAAGCTTTTTTGTAGATGTTGTCTTGGCTTCCCACCAGAGTAAGCATTTATATGCTCTGCTTTTAGTTTATATATACATACATAATGTTTTTCCTTTCTTAATTTTATCTTTTTATTTGGGATCAGCTTCTTGCACTCCTTTCTTGACTCAACCCTTTCTATCTCCCCTTCTCTCACCTAATCACTTCATGTTTTGTTTTTGGTAATGGTCCCTGGATGAGGCACTTCTGTCAATCTTTTAAAAGCCTTAGTCCCATCAGCAGAATGGAAAAACCTTGAAGCCTAGTATGATGCTTGAGATAGCTATGGAGGGCATGTTCAAAATACTCCTGACGCAGGCACCTTCATGGTGCTGGAGAGTCAAAGGCATCTCCCTTCATTAGCTCCTCTAAGCATCAAGAATCAAGCAAGTCTTTCTGTGGAATTGTACAAGAGACCATTTAAACAGGATAATCCGCGATCTGTTTATATAAATTGTCAAAAAGTAGTCAAATAATAAATAGGGAATTCCAATAGGAAAAAGATGTGCTCAGAAGAGGAAGTGACAAATAGTTGGGAGTTATTTGGACTTTGATACCATTGTCTTCCAAGGTAGCTCTAAGCCTTGATGTATGGGCTTCTGAGTTCATACTCTGAAAGGAAGTACACTTCCTCTTTTGAACATTCCTGTAGTTTCTTTCCCTTTGTGTTGTTAAAGAATATCAGCCAATAAATCTGTTCAGGTTTCCATTCTGCAGAACTCCAGAGCATGTGCTAGTGGCAAGACAGTGGCTCTTATGATTTTTTTCCCTTAATTCTTCCTTATATGTACTTGGGTGGTTCCTAAGGGAAAGGGAAGCACATGATCATGGGAATGATAGCCCAGAACAAAAAGAAATCTTGTCTTACCACTGTGGTTTATAGGAGAGATTGGGAGAAATCTTCCTGCTTTCTCCATGGACTGATTCCAGAAGAGACTGATCCAAAAATTATAGCGGCAGGGAACTCTTGGTGCATTTGGCACTGAGATTTAAATGCAACAGAATTGTCCTCAAAGCCCAGCCATTAAAGCATTGTCTCTCTTGACCTTCTGGTATCTTGTTAGAGAGCTTTTCACTGTGAGGAAGTGTGGAAATGGCTGTGTGTATGAGTGTTATCTGTTAGGTTGGGGATAGGTTTTCTGTTAGCCAATATTAAAAGAGACCTACAATAAAAGATTACCCTGATCTGATAGAGAAGTGTTTGTGTATGACTGTGTGTATGACTGTGTGTTTGTGCCTGTATATATCTACATTCAGAGGAGAAATTATATTTGAAATTGTTGGAAAATAAATTCAGATCAAAATGCCTTTCAGGCGCATTACCTAGAAATCTGTCTTAAAACCTGGGTATGTTCCTGAAGTCATTTCTCTGCTTTTGCTAAATCAGTTATAATTATGACTGGGGGATATTCTGCACTTTCTAAAGAAGAAACTATTTTTGTGTGAAAGTGAAACCTATCATCCAGCTCTATGGCAGAGTCCTTGTACTTAAATCTTTTTATCTTGGCTATCAATAGATGATGCTATGATTCTACTATACATTTTATATAAAATCCATTCAAATTAAGTTTTGGGTAACTTTATGTTGTTGTTAAATTGAAATATAATAGCTGTTAATACTCTAAACAATAGTTCACTCCATTTGGTCCTTTCTCTGAAGACAATACTGTTATCAACCCTCAGGAACTATTGCAAGAAACTTTACCCAGATCGGATTAAGAATCCTGAAGTAAAAGTCATCCATGACTGTTCATCATCACACACTTTATTCCTACTGAAAGGCAGAACTTAGAGTCGGTTATTTTATGTCTGTAATCATGTTCTTTGGCATCTTTTGGAGGAAAGGGACAAGTTAACATGCTGGAGTATACAGTATTTTGCTCCATAGAGCATTTCCAGGAATGGAATCTTCTCCAGTATGAAATTATTAGCTGCAAACTAGCTTACTGATGCTGAGAACTACAAGCTTTTAGATGAGGTTATTTGATGGTGTTTCTCTCTTGGGTGAAAAGTTGCTGGTTCATTATCATTACCATGAGTGAATTTATATCCAATTCATTGCACTTATCCTATTTCTTTCCCACAGAGGAAGCTTCAGATCCAGCATCTTGTTTGGCCCACAAATGGAATCAGCTTCTGCTTCTGTCTCCCAGCAGCAGCAAGCCATTTAGTCTTTTCCAGGAGAAGTTAGGTGGTTACATTCCTTGAGTCAGGAGCTCTTTACTGAAAATTCCCCTTTCCTGAACTTTAGGCCAGCAGAAATTAATGTAACTGACATGCATATTCCAAACCTATTTTCATGATTTAAAAAAAAAAATTTTTTTGATGACCAAACCTTGCAGGGTTGGGCATGACCAGGACTAGTAAAATGAAAGCACTCATTGTCTTGTTCTTTCAGGTTGCCCATTCACATTCATCTGCTTATCACTTAACTGTCTCACTTTTTACCCAGAGAAGTAACAACCCACACCATCTTCCTTCAGGGACCTCCCAGCTGGCACTCTGTTTTTGGGTGCTATGCAGAATGCAGTTTAATGGATATTTCTCAGCCTGGTTTCAGAATACATAGAACCTTTGATCCCAAAAAGTATAGACTGAAGTATGGGGTAAAGATTATGATTGGGGGAGGGTTGGAGACAAAAGCTGTAAATTACTATGGCTGATTTATTTCTACTATATACATATATATATTTTTTGCTTTTGTATATCCTATATAGGAAACTAAGCATTGTATTTTTTTAACAAATCTGAGAAAGCACTATGAACTGCAGGTGTTTGACTTTCAGAATATATTTTGTATTGTTAAATATCTTCACATTGTGTGAATACTGGAAGCTGCAGATCTTTGCTAGGACGCAATAAATTTATACACTTTTTGAGGTTTTTTTCCTGGGGTGCTAATCAGGCCCCTATTATGCTTTGGGGGAGCCCTGGTGCTACATGCTTAAAGTTTTCATTCAGTTGTAAGTACCCTGATGCCTTTTGGACCTTGGGATCAGATCAAAAGAGTTTTGGAGATCAGGTACCAAGGAAATGAGGACAGTTTGGCTGCCTCAAATGATAAGGGGCTCTTTGCATAACTTTCCTTCCCCTTAGCCAAAGCTGTGTAGCCTCTTGGGGTTGGGAGGAGAAATGTGAAATCTCAGACTTCATCTTCCTTTAGAAGAGAGCCAGTAATTTATGTGCAATGATGAAAGGTGGCAGCAGTAGCTTTGGGGGAAGGGAGGAGGATATGGCACTTCTCCAACCCCGGAAAACATTGTTTTTGAGAACTGCTGATAAAATATGGGCATGTTATTACTTTTGTTTGGGAGACTGTGTTCTTTCTGGTGCCTGTCTTGGCTCTACTCCGGGGGTACAGACCTAGGAGGATGAGCAGACCAGCTTTGAGGTTGACCTATTTCTTTTCTTTGTCTGCCTTCCGTAAATACCAGCCCCCAGGAAGACATTAAGCAGCCTTAAGCTTAAATTTATACTCCCTCTTCCACACTTGGCTCACTTGCCTTAGACTGAAGACCAGGAAAGGAAAAGAAGGGAAGTTCCTGGCTTCATTCCTCCCCGAGGCCTTCTCCACTTTGATTTTAACAAACCCAAAAAGATTTTCTCCACAACATTCATTTGCAAGAAAGGAGTATTTTCCCATTTGCTCCTTCAAACAGCCCAGCTTTCCTTGTCTAAATGAAGGGATTACCCTCATTTAGTTAACCATGATCTGTCCTTTAATTCTTTGAAGTCCCAGCTCAGTATAAAAAATAAAGTCAGGTTTGGCTGGGGGTGCAGGTAGTGAGGACTTTTTTGATACCTCCCCTTGGGACCTCCCAGCTGGCACTCTGTTTTTGGGTGTGTGCTTCCCTATTTCTTGCCTTCAGGAATTACTCTGTGCCTTCTCCACAGAGGAGGATTGGGCTTCCTCTACCCAGCTTTGCCAGTAACTAACTGCTCTTGAACAATGTCAACAGGGGCAGCTATTCATATTTCTGATCATCCCTTTCTCCCAGTGGCATCCCATGCATGGCCCTTACCTAGAGTCTAGGGGAAAAAGAATATGAGGAGAATATCTGATATTCTATACACCAGTGGCAGCTGTCCCAGGACCTGCTCCTCTTCCCAAGTCTGTCATCATCCTGGGGCGAGGGGTGGTGTTTCAATCTCTGGTGCCTAAAACAAGTTTCTCTCTCTTAACACTGGCAATAACCAGTCTCCATACCACTGTTGCCTTTTAAACTTCTTAATAATCTCATGCTGTGTGTTCGTTGTTGATTCCAAACCAATTATCACCAGGGCTGTGTGGGTAAATACTTTTAAATGCTCTATCATCTTGCTCTTTTCCAGCCTACTCTTGTGTATGTATGATGCTAATTTCTTGTTTTTCAGTTTCTTCCTGCTCCTTTTGTATCTTCTTTCTTGTTTTTCCCCCTACCTTTTGTCTGGGTGTTTTGGGGCTCTTCCCCGCTCCTTTTGTACAAAGATTAGTTTCAATGTAGTCTGTAGCTCCTTTGTAAACCAATTAAAAAAAATTTTTTTTAATAAAAAAGCCATGTCTCTGGTGTATTGAGAGGGTGGGGAATGGGGAGAATATGGTTACAACTTCATATTCTGAACTCTGCAAATGTTTCCAGATATACAACAGTTGTGTTCCTGAATGTGTTAATTAGTGAAGTTTACCTTACTTCAATCCCAGGTAAAGTTTCATGATCAGGTCACTGTTCCACAACTTCCCAGAAGAGTGGAGAACCAAGGGTTGGGAGTATAGTTCAGTTGTAGAGCCCTTGCCTAACACCTGTGCCAAGTCCTGGGTTTGATCCCAGTACTCCAAAAAGCAAAAAAGGAAAACAAGTCGAGCCAAAAGAAACAGGGGCAGCCCCAAATCTTCCTCCTCCTCTTTTTTTTTTTTTAATATGGTCTTTATTTTGGAACAATTTTCATTGGGAAAGGGGTAATTTTAGGTTTACAGAATGTGGTGCACACCAATAATCCCAGCAGCTGAGGAGGCTGAGGCAGGAAGATTGCAAGTTCCAGGCTAGCCTCAGCAATTTAGTGAGACCCTATCTCAATAAAAAGCACTGGGGTTGTAGCTCAGTGGTAAAATGTCCCTGGGTTAAATCCTCAGTATTGGAAAGAATAAAAAAAATATAGAAAAGTTGCAAAGGGAGTACAGAGTTTTACCCTTACCCAGTTTTCCTCCTCCTGATATTTTACCATGGTATGTTGTCAAAACTTAGACGCTAACATTGATACATTATGTGAACTGAACTTCTTACTATGGGTTTCATTAGTTTTTCCACTGATATCCTCTTTCTGTTCCAGGATCCATTCTAGGGTAACACATTGCATTTACTTATCACATATCCTTTGTATCCTCTGTGACAGTCTTTCCTTGTTTTTCATAACTTGGTCTGTCTTGAGGAATATTGGCCAGATAGCCTATATGTAGCCCCCAATCTGGGTTTGTCTGATGTTTTGCTCATTGTTAGCTTATGGGGTTTTGTTTGTTTGTTTTAGTTGTTGATGGACACAATAGCTTTTTTTTTATGTGGTGCTGAGGATTAAACCTAGTGTTTCACATGTGCTAGGCAAGTGCTCTACCACTGAGCCACAATCCCAGCCCCAGCTTATGGTTTTTGAATGAATACCACAGGTAAAATACCATTCTCATAACACAATGATAGTGTCTATGGTATGCAAGTAACATTACCAATGTTAATATTTGCCAGATTTCTGCATGATAAAGTTAACTTTTTTCTCTGCCTACTCTTTGTAAGTGAATCACTAAGACTAGCCCAACTTCAGTGGGTTGGTGGAAATTAAGCTTTACCTCAGAGGGGGCATTATCTGTATCTGTTATTTGGAATTCTGTAAGGAATTTTCATCTTCTTTTATTAGACCATCATTTATATTAGTGTGGATTCATGTATATTTATCTTATACTTGGATTATAATTTAATACTACATTACTTAATTTCTCAATTAACCCAACTTTGGCCCCTGGGAATTCATGTTGATCATATTTTTTTGTACACAATTTGTTTTTTTGAATTTTATTGCTTTTTTTTTTGCGGGGGGCACTGGGGATTGAATTGAAGGTTGTTTTACCACTGAGCTACATCCCCTTTCCTTTTTATTTTTTTGTACCAGGGATTGAACCCAGGGGCACTTAACCACTAAGTCTCATCCTCAACCCTTTTTTATATTTTATTTAGAGACAGGGCCTCACTAAGTTGCTGAGGCTGGCTTTGAATTTGGGATTCTCATGCCTCAGCCTACAGAGTTGTTGAGATTACAGGTGTGTGCCACATTGCCTGCCCCTTTATTGCTTTCAGATACATAAGATGCTTCAGGCTTATCTTGTATTTTTCCTGCCCCTGCCTTCTGATCACCTAATCCTCTAAGGTTCCTTGTATTGGAGAATGTCATTTGGAAACCAAGATCTAGACCTGATATACTTTGCATTTCTTGTACCCTGTATTATTTAAATCTGGTCTCTGGCCCCTTCTGAATTGAAGTTATTCTGACAACTTTCCCAATTTTCCATCAGGCTCTAGTTTTACTTTTTAAGAAATGTGTTGTTATATTACCTAACAAATATTTGGTCAATTGTTAAACTGTTGTTTACCAAGATTCTCAGTTAATTTGCTTATTCTACTATTTGTGTCTTCTTTGTCAGCACTCAACCGTGGGTAAACCCAGCCATTTGCTTTCCTTATATGACATTTTAATACTTGTCTGCTTTGGAGTGTGTATTTATGGGTTTGGTTTTGCAGCCTTAGTTAGGTGAGAGTTGTGTTATCTATTCATTTAGTAAACAACTATTGATCCTTTACTATGTGTGAGGTACTAAGTTAGGTTAAAAGTATTAAAAAAAAAAAACTTAAGGAGGTCCCTGTCATCAAGGATTTCATAGTTTGGCAAGTAAGACAGACACTATTGATTGCTAGTTTCTGGATTGTGACCTAATTTATATTAGATGATTTGCCTCTTAGTTCATTGAGGAAATGGAAGCATTTCTTCAAACTTTCCTATCCTTCTCATTAAAAACATCTGTATTTTCACTAAGTTAACCTTTTTCTCTCTTCCTAGTAGAGAAGTGTTATATTTCCTTTGCAAGACCAGCCCTGCTACTTGTGCTGTCAACCTCATTTCTTTGACTTTTTGTTCTTTGTTTCAATGATACCTTCTCCTTTTGTCATCCTCTTATGCATGTTCCATTTTGAAAAACTTCTGCTTACTCTTCCAGCTACTGATTTAGTTCTTTTATTTTTCAGTTAGCAAAATCAGTTTACACTCATTTTCCTCTTTATTCATCCTTAGGCCACTTTGTTAGCACCAATTACTTAACAAGAATCTTTCTCATTAACATCAGGACCTGATGGCAGCTCCAGTGATCTTTCAATTATCAGCCTCTTTATGACTACTGCACCTTAAAGCTTTTTGTCACATAGAGTGTGACACTGATACTGTTCTTGATTTTCTTTCAATATGTCTGAATATTCTTTTTAGTCTCTTTAATAGTCACTTCTGCCTCTGTCCCTTAAATGTTGATGTTTCCTGTCTTATGTGCTTTCTTTTTTATTTTGTTTTATTTTTTTGTAGTTGTGTACGGACAGCATGCCTTTATTTTATTTGTTTATTTTCATGCAGTGCTAAGAAACCAGTGCCTCACACATGCTATGCCAGCACTCTGCCACTGAGCTACAGCCTCAGCCCCTTTATCTTTCTCATTGAAAGAGTCTTATCCACTTTTTTTTTTTTTTTTTTTTGGTAGTTGAACACAAAACCTTTATTTTATTTATTTATTTTTACGTGGTGCTGAGGATCGAACCCAGGGCCTCACATGCAGTAGAGCAGTGCAGCGCTCTACCCGAATGCTCTACTGCTGAACCACAACCCAAGCCCAAGTCTTATCCATTCTTTAGTTTTAACATACATGTTGTCGACTCCCAAATCTCAAGCCCTGACTTTGTCTTGACCTGAAAACCTACTTATTGGACAATTTTATCTAAACATCCTGCAGATGAACTTGGTGTGTTAGAAGGGGAAATAATCCTTTGTATTCTGCATATCCCTTAACAATATTACCTGCCCCTTATTTACTCATGCTTGAAACTTCAGAATCATCTTTTAGTTTTCCCTTTCGTCTACCCATATGCATTTAATTGCTAGTCCTGTCAATTTTACCTATATAGTGTTTTTTGTTGTTTCATGTTTGTTTTGTTTGCGTATCGCTTCAATCCCAACTCTCTTTATTTTTTTAATTTAATTTAATTTAATTTTTTTAGAGAGAGAGAATCTTTTTTTAATATTTATTTTTTAGTTTTCGGCGGACACAACATCTTTGTTTGTATGTGGTGCTGAGGATCGAACCCAGGCCGCATGCATGCCAGGCAAGCACACCACCGCTTGAGCCACATCCCCAGCCCTTTATTTTTTATCTTGAGACAAATACTCACTAAATTGCCAAGATTGGCCTGGAATTTAATTCTGCCTAACTGGGATTACAGGTGTGCGCCGGTGTACCCAGCCAGTGCTCACTCTGGTTACTGGTTATGTCTTATAACTGATCTCCATAAGCCCCAGTCATTCATCTTCCACATTGCCACAAGGCCCCTGCCTAAAATCCTTTGCTTTTAGTAGAAGTCTAAGCTCCTTGTTATAAAATTGAAAACCTTTCCAATTTGGTCCCAGTATATCTCTGTTGATTTACTGCCTCAAATCTCATTGCTTTCTTGTCACTAAATATATATGCTTGTGTATGTTTGGCACTAGGGATCTAACTTGGGGCACTTTACCACTGAACTGTATCCTTGGCCCTGTAAGATAGGGTCTGGGAAAGTTGCTGAGACTGGCCTCAAACTTGTGATCTTCCTGTCTGAGCCTCCTGGGATTACAGGGATGCACCACCATGTCCAGCATGCTTTGTGTTTATATATCTACCTTTTTTAAAAAAAAAAATTTTTAGTCGTAGGTGGACAATACCTTTATTTCATTTTTATATGGTGTAAGGATCAAACCCAGTGCCTCACACGTGCTAGGTGAGCACTCTTATCACTGAGTCGCAACCCCAGAGCTTTACTCCTGCTCTTTGCTTTAAACAACCACTCTCTTAAAATCATTATGTTGACCTTTTTTTTTTTTTTTTTTGGTGCTGGGGATTGAACCCAGGGCCTTGGGCTTGTGAGACAAGCACTCTAGCAACTGAGCTATACCCCCAACCCCTTTGTTGACCTTTAAAATGATTTAAATGTCCCTTTCTCTGAAACCCTCTTGGCATCTTTCTTACTTTATCTTCTATGTCTTAGGCATAATTACTTGATCTTTCTTCTTGTAAACAGTTTTGGGGCATATTTCTAGTGTGACACATTATTTTCTGGCTTCTTATTGATATAGCTGCTTGACTTTCTAGACTATGAATTCCTGAAGGGCAGGAATAATTTCTGTCTGAAATTATTAGGCCCAGCACCTAACAGAAACCTTTTCTAGACTGGAATCCATAGCTACCTGCTGAATTAAATAAAGGAACAGCTTACTTTGCCTTTGTAGTCAGTAGGATCAAAGGTAAATCATTGGGGGGCTGGGGGTGTGGCTCAGTGGAAGCACACTTGCCTAGCATGTGTGAGGCACTGGGTTCAATTCTCAGCACCGCATAAAAATAAATAAAATAAAGGTCTATCAACTAAAAAAAAAAAAAAAGTAAATTATTGGATCATTGCTGACTTGAATCAGGGAGCCCTAATGAAAGTCATTATGTAGAGGCTGGAGTTGTAGCTCAGTTGTGGAGCACTTGCACATGTGAGGCACTGGGTTCCATCCTCAGCAACACATAAAAATAAATAAAATAAAGGTATTGTGTCCATCTGAAACTTAAAAAAATATGTTTTAAAAAGTTAGGTGGAATCTAGAAAGTCTTGACTCTTATGTGGTAGTCCTTTAGGACCTTCCTAATTCCTCAGTTACAGACTATTGCCACCACTACTATCCCACCTCTTTTTTTCTTTTCCACAGTACTGATGATTGAATGTAGGACCTCATGAGTGCTAAGCAAGGATTTGACAACTGAGTACGTTCCCAGCCCTTTTATTTTATTTTTTAATTGTGGTACTAGGGATTGAACCCAGGGCCTTGCTCATGCTAGGCAAGCACTCAACCACTGAACTACATTCACATTCTGTTTATAAATTTTTATTTTTCGACAGCGTCTCACTAAGTTGTCCAGGCTAGCTTCAAACTTGTTATACCTTCTGCCTTAGCCTCCCAAGTGATTGGGCTTATAGGCATGTGTTACTACACCTAGCAGATTATTACACTTTTTATTATTGTCTCAACTCTTAAAACCTAACTACCCAGAGCAGGTGTAATTCCCGTCAATTGTTTCTTCCTTAGGAGTAGTTATTTAAAGCTTTCACTGAGGAGACTACCTTTTTGTCTCAACCTTACCCTGCTCTCACTAGGAGGAGACAGCCTCCTGAGACATACCAGACAAAAGAAGTTATTTGATCTTCAACTCCCACCCCCACCCCCACCTTAGACTTATCTCATCTTGGAGCAGCTGAAGGAAGATAGCTGGAACTAAGCACAACATTTCATGGACCTCACTGGCACAGCCCCACAGGCTCTTAGAAGGGCCCAAGAAAGGATGAGTAGCTGTCTCTAGTCCTAGTCATTCTACCAGCTTCTATTACACAATTATTGGAGCTTTTTACTCCCCTCCTGAAAGGCCTCAGCATGCTCAGAGAGTACTCAGACACCACCACCCCACCCCTTCCCATCTAGCCAGTTTATTCTGACAAGCGTTTCCAGGAAGCCACTAGGGGGCAGAAAGCTTGAAAAATAGGGAACCAATCCCCTCTGACTAAATCTAATGGGACCCAGCTGCTCATAGTTGTGGAAATAATTACCTATGACTGGATACTTTGGGGAAGAATCTGGTGGAGTTGGGCTTCTGTCTGTTGCAACACAAGCCGTTGACCTTCTTCCAGCTCCTGCTGACATGCTCTTTACATACCCTATATTCTCCCTTCATATTTTATATTCGTAGAACTTAATACATAAAGGAGGTGTACTGTGTATATTAATCATCAGAGAAGTTACTTTCTGCCTTCTTGCCCCAGCGCAGACTTTGTCCTATGTCTGCTGTCCTCTGGTGGTGATAGTTTGAACTGTACTCTACCTACCTTCTAGTAAGTGGTCTGCTGGCAGATAATGCTGGACATTTTTTCAGTAATCCAAATTCAAATTTTGAAATATGCATTTAATGGAAAAATTTTTCATTGCTGAATTTTGTATTCGTTTTCAGGCAGCATTACATAATACAAAGAATAGAGCCTGGTCTTTTGAGTCAGAATTACCTAGGTTCATATCACAGTTCTGCTGTTTTCTACTGACCTTGGGCAACTTACCTAAACTGAATTTTCTTGTCTATAAAGTGGAGATATAATAAACATCTCAGCGGGGGAATTAGATGATTGTAAAATGCATAGCCCCAACTACCCTAGCACATAGTAGGTGCTCAATAAAAAGTTGTAATTGCTTCAATAATGGTAATTTGCTCATTGTGTGAATCCATGTGATTTTTGTTTCTTTCTTTGTTTTGTAGTGCTGGGGATCGAACCCACAACCTCACATATGCTAGGCAAGTGCTCTACTACTAAGTTATATCCCCAGCTGTTTTATTATTATGGTAAAATACACATAAAAAATTAACCATTGTAACTATTTTCAGTGTCATTTTTTTTTAACTCTGAGAAATTTTATGTACTTTCTGACCCTTGAGTTTGAAAAATGAGGTAAAATCTAGTATGGGGTATGAGGCCTCCCTCTGCCCAGGAAGCTGTAGATCTGAGCCCTGAATACATGAGTTACAGGGGATCTTGGGCAAAGCTAAATGGCTCTAGGTATTTGACCTTGCTTTGGTTTCTAGCCTGAGAAAGGCTGACTGGATCCTGCACCTTCTTCCAAGGTCAGCAAAGGGCAGAGATTTGAAGTTAGGTATCACTGGATTCTCAGCTGGGCCTCCAAATCCCCCTCCTCCTGCTCTTCAGAGAAAAGAGGAGGTGGCTAAAGAGAGGAGGATATGAGATTGGTTCTCTGCTCCTCCCTTTCTTTCCCTGTTTTCCTCATACCCACTCTCTCCCCCACAGCAGCCTTCTCCCCCACAGAGAGACTGGGATAGGACAGAGGGGGTGGAGTTGGGGACTCAAGGCTTGGAAGCTCCATAGTGCCCTGTATCTGAAGGGAGCTTTGCTCTGGGGCAGCTGTGCTGGCTTATGCTGTCCTCCTCCTGCTACTGCCATCCTTCAACAAGATGCTGGGGAGATTGGGACTTTGGGCATTGCTTCCTACAGCTGTACAAGGTGAGTGTCTATAGGGAGGGGCAGGATCTTTCCACCCACTCAGTGAGCAAAAAGGACTCTTGAAGCAGAAGCCATCACTTTGGAAGAGTGGTGAGTGAGCTGGATGAGTGAGGGTGAAGGGTAGTCATGTGTCCCTGTGGTGGCATCAGGTTCCAGGCCTCTGCTGACCTGGGTTTCCCTTGTGGCTTTACTGACCCTGGGAAATGAAAATCATGTTTTGTCTATCCTTTTGCCCCCACATTCACACCCTTCTTGAATCCTTCCCTTTCCCCACCCTGGGTTTCAGCACCACCAAACAGGAGGACCTGTGTGTTCTTTGAGGCCCCTGGAGTGCGGGGAAGCACAAAGACACTGGGGGAGCTGCTAGATGCAGGACCAGGGCCTCCCAGGGTTATTCGCTGCCTCTACAGTCACTGCTGCTTTGGGATCTGGAACCTGACCCAAGGCCGGGCCCAGGTGGAAATGCAAGGTGAATGGCAAAGTATACGGCAAGTGATAGTTAGGGTGGGAGACAGGAATGTCCTGGGGGAGAAGGGGAGAGATGGAAATGTGTGGAGGAAAAGAAAAGCCTATGTGAGATAGAAGGATGCTTCTCGCAGAGAAGGGAGTTATCCTTTCTGATTCCAGACCCCATTTTGTCCTCTCCCTTGTTCCTTCTATTCTACTCTTCCCCTAATCCTACCCCATCAGGATGCCGAGACAGTGATGAGCCAGGCTGTGAATCCCTCCACTGTGACCTGAGTCCCCGAGCCCATCCCAGCCCTGGCTCCACTCTCTTCACCTGCTCCTGTGGCACTGACTTTTGCAATGCCAATTACAGCCATCTGCCTTCTCCAGGGAACCTGGGGGTTCCTGGCCCCCAAGGTACCCAGGCTACCCCAGGTAATTACTGGCTAGAGCCCCATCCTGAGGCCCAGGTAAGGAGGAGAGGTAGAACCAGGTCTAGTTCTCACCCTACCCCCTCCATAAGCTTTCCTCCTCCTGGCCTTGGGAAGCTGGTTGCCCTGGTGACAGAGAGATAAGGGGGCTTGTGACTAGGATGGGGGTGGGTTGAGAAGCAAGCTCTCTGAGCAGGGGAGAGGTGCAGAGAGCAGTTTGGGGCAATGTTCACCCACCTCTGTTCTTGTCTTAATGACCAGGCGAGTCCATCTGGATGGCATTGGTGCTGTTGGGGCTGCTTCTCCTCCTCCTGCTTCTACTGAGCAGCAGCATCTTGGGTACTAATTTGCCCCATCTCTCCCTTATGACCAAGATACTGCCCTCAAGCTCTGAGTCTCTTGTCACCACTGACCCCACATTCCTGAGATCTCTATACACTGTCTTTCATGACCTCCATAGACAACTCCCTTCCTGCAAAGTCCCCTTCCCTTGTCCCCATGCCTATACACCCTGACCTTCAGGTTCTTCTCTGCAACCAGCCCTGCTGCAGCGAAAAGCCTACAGAGTGCAAGGTGGGCCACAGCCAGAGCCAAACTCAGGCAGGGACTGGAGTGAGGAGCTGCCGGAGCTGCCGGAGCTGCCGGTGCTGCCAGAGCTGTGCTTCTCCCAGGTGCCCCCTGGAGGGAGGAAGGGCTCCTCTGGGCATTCCTGGAGGTTATACTGGGGAGAAAATCTGGCCCTGGTGTTAGTTCGGAGGCCTGCACCCAGCACAGTGTTCCCACTAGGTAATCCAAGAAGGAAGTCACGCAGTGATGTGGGCTGGGAGGCTGCAAGGCGAGCTGGTAGCCATCAAGGCCTTCCCTCCAAGGGCTGTGGCCCAGTTCCGAGCCGAAAGAGCAGTGTATGAGCTGCCAGGCCTACAGCATGACCACATTGTCCGCTTTATTACTGCTGGCCAGGGGGGCCCTGGCTCCCTGCCCTCTGGGCCCCTGCTGATACTGGAATTGCATCCCAAGGTGAGGACTAAGGAGTGTGTGTGTGTGTGGGGGGGGGGGGGAGTTGGGGGAGGTTGCATGGCAGGGGGCTGGCTATATACACTTATTCTTCTGCTTTAGATTTTCTCTTCCTTAAAGCAATTTTTTTTTTTAAACTGGAGATTGAACAGTGCTTTACCACTGAGCCATATCCCCAAACCTTTTAATTTTTTTTTATTTTGAGACAGGGTCTCATTAAGTTGATTAGGGTCTTGCTAAATTGAAGAGGCTTGCCTCAAACTTGCAATCCTCCTGCCTCAGCCTTCACTGGGATTACAGTCATACACCACCATGTGTGGCTTGTCTTTTTCTTTTTTATTACACAAGTAATGCAAACTTTTTTTTTTTTTTTTTGAGATGGGCTCTCTCCCTATGTTCCCCAGGCTGGCCCTGAACTCTTGGGCACAGTGATTTTCCTGCCTCATTGCCCAAGTAGCTGGGACTGCAGGTGTATACCATCCACCTGGCTCATGTTAATATTTTTAACCCTTAAAATATAGATAAGGGAAGGGAGAAACCAAACAGTTAATATTCCCAACCTTAAAGAAAACCATTGTCGGGCTGGGGATGTGGCTCAAGTGGTAGCGCGCTCGCCTGGCATGCTGCCCAGGTTCAATCCTCAGCACCACATACAAACAAAGATGTTGTGTCCGCCGAAAACTAAAAAATAAATATTAAAATTCTCTCTCTCTCTCTTTTTAAAAAAAAGAAAAAAAGAAAACCATTGTTAAAGAAATAGCTCACCCAATACAGTGGCAAAAACTTGTAATCCCAGCCAGTTGGGAAGCTGAGGCAGGGGGATCACAAATTGAAGGCCAGCCTGGGCAATTTAGCAAGACCCTGTCTTAAAATAAAAAATAAAAAGGGCTGGGGCTATAGCAAAGTGGTAAAGTGCCCCTGGGTTCAATCCCCAGTATGGTGGGGGTGGGGGTGGATAAAAAGACTGGAGGTATAAGTGTCATATGTCAAATGTACTAAAATCTAAAAGGGAGGGCCCTGAGGTGGAGAACAATGAGTTGCAGGATAAAGAGGGGGAAGTAGGCAGAGGCCAGAGCACACTGGGCCTTGTCGGTCTACTAAAGGTTGGGATTGTTTTTTTTTTGGTTTCTATAGCATTTCCCATCTAATAGGCATTGTATTAAGCACTTTAGACACATTTTCATACTTAATATTCATATGCTATGAGGTAGGAATTACTATCCACAGAGGCTCAGGAAAGAAAGTCATTTTCCCAGGATCGGTGTGACTCTAGAGTTGCTTTTCTCCTGTTCACCCCAAAAGCAGGACTCTTCCACCTGTGTGTAAGAGCTCCATTACCCAAGTCCTTTTCCTCTTGTCGTTCAACCTCTTCAACCTGTTTTGGTGCCCAAATGCAGTAGTCCTTCCCTGGATTTTATCAGCCCCTACAGCTCCTCTATCTCTGAGATCTTGAATTCTGGAAAGTCCCCCCTTTGACCATGTTCCTCCTGACCCTGCTCAAAAATCACTTTTTGTTCCTTTAACTGTGTCTGACTTCCCCTAGATAGTTAGTGGGTTTTGCTTCACATCTACGGCACTTTTTTCCCCCCCCATTGTGGTATTTATTGCATTCTATGCTTATATGTTATCATTATGTCTCACCTGTCCCTGAGCTACCTTGGTGTCTCAATACAGTTGCTGGTATACCAAAGGTGCTCAAAAATGTTTGTTGAATGGGGGGCTCTATTGCTTCTTTGCCTCCAGTTCCTTATCTGCTGCTCCTATCCACCAGGTCTACCTATTCATGTCTACAGAGACCTGACACTTCAAGCAAGGTAGTTCATGAGAGAGGCCCCTGAATAACTTTCCTCTTCTCTTTGTATCAAGTTCTCTGAGTTGGCATAAGGTGGTGGTTAATAGTGGGTGATTCGTGAGTCAGACTGCTTGGATCTGTGCCCCACTTGTCTCTCACCAACTGACCTTAAGCAAGTTTACTTAACTTCCTCTAAGCTCTTCCTCTGTAAAATAGAGGTGATCAGAATACTTCCCTTGTAAGGTCATCATGAAGATTTCAGAGGCCAGTGCACATGGCCTGGGCCACAATATGCACTCAGTTATGTTGACTTGAAGTTCCTTCCTTCCTTCCTTCCTTCCTTCCTTCCTTCCTTCCTTCCTTCCTTCCTTCCTTCCTTCCTTCCTTCCTTCCTTTCTGTAGTTGTGGATGGACAGAATGCCTTTATTTTATTTGTTTATTTTTATGTGGTGCTGAGGATAGAACCCAGTGCCTCACACATGCAAAGCAAGCACTCTGCCACTGAACTACAGTCCCAACTACTGGAGTTACTATTTTTCACATCAGTCTCACTGATGCTCATTCTTACTCCTCCACTGCCTGTTGTTGTTTTGGTCTGGACCTGTCAGGGTGTCTGTCTGCAGGGCAGGTTTGGAAAGAGATCTGTCAACTGATCCCTACTCTCTGTGATTTATCAGTCACCCCTCTTCTCTCTGTTTTCCTCAGGGCTCTCTGTGCCACTACTTGACCCAGCACACCAGTGACTGGGGAAGTTCCTTGCGGATGGCACTCTCCCTGGCCCGGGGCCTGGCATTTCTGCATGAGGAACGCTGGCAGGATGGTGGGTGAACCGGCTGCCAAGGGAGTCAGGAACCACACTACTGTGTCCAATTCTCCCTTAGCTTGGAAGGGAAAGATTGGGTCAAAAGAGTAAGGAAGACCCATATCTCTTCAACCTTGGATTTTCTCACAGGCCAGTATAAACCAGGTATTGCCCACCGAGATCTGAGCAGCCAGAATGTGCTCATTCGGGAAGACAGGTCATGTGCAATTGGAGATCTAGGCCTAGCCTTGGTGCTCCCTGGTTTCAGTGGGTCCCCTGCCTGGGCTCCTTCTCAATCCCAAGGCCCAGCTACCATCATGGAGGTGAGTACTATGGGTAAGGGTAAGGGACAGGATGATGGTGGTAGCATTGTGACTATCACTATGGCAGTAGTGCTAATGCAGCAGTGCCTGAGGTGGTAGGGACATTGCTGAGTCTATGGTGGGGGGCATTATGTTGCATGAATTAGGGATGCAATGAGGGTTGCCACAGAGATGATTCTTGGCCCTCCACACCTTGCTCTCCAGGCTGGCACCCAAAGGTACATGGCGCCAGAACTCTTGGACAAGACTCTGGACCTCCAGGATTGGGGCACAGCCCTTCGGCGAGCAGATGTTTACTCTCTGGCTCTGCTCCTATGGGAGATCATGAGCCGCTGCCCCGATTTGAGCCCTGGTAAATTTCTTACTCCTGATGCCCCACTCACCCCTTCTAGGCTTACTGACTTGGTTCCAGAAAGCTGTGACCTTCTTTCCCTGCCTTCACTACATGGGAGGCACCTCAGGGCAAGCTGACATCTATTCCTTGTACCTTCCCCCAGATGGCAGACCATCACCTTTCCAACTGGCCTATGAGGCAGAATTGGGCAGCACTCCCACCACCTGTGAGCTATGGGCCTTGGTAGTAGAGGAGAGGAGGCGCCCTTATATCCCATCTACCTGGATATCCTTTGTTACAGTAAGAGGCCACTTCTAGCCAGCTGGGGACTGGGTATGGGCTTCAAGGACTTCTCTTCCAGGACTAGTCTATCTATTCCTACCTCCTCTCATCTCTCACCACTCCCTGGTTCATGTTCCTCTGAAACTAGAAAAACTGAAGAGGTCCTCAGTTGACCCTCTTTCACCCTAAGTCTCATACACCCCATTCCATCCACAACTTTCCTGCTCAAGTCTCTCTGTATTCTCCACCATCAATTAGCCCTGTTCCTCATTTCAGCAGATCATCCCTGACTTTGCTTCTTTTCTGGGCTCTGCTTCCAAGATGGTGCCTCCCCTGGTATGTTGGAACCCAAAATCTAACCAGTGACTTCTTGTTGTGTCTCATACATCTGTATTTCTGATGCAACCCAATAAAAGTCAGTTCTAGGTAGCTCAGTAATAGATCACATGCTTAGCATGTTCAAAACCCTGGGTTCAATCCCTAGCACTGCAAAAAAAAAAAAAAAAAAAGGAAAGGAAAGAAACAGAAAATAGGTGTGGCTGGTGCAGTGGTGCACTCCTGTAATCCTAGCAACTTAGAAGGCTAAGGGAGAAGGGTTACAAGTTTGAGGACCATCTTGGCAATTTAGTGAGACCCTGTCTCAAAATAAATAGATATATAAAAAGGGCTGGGGGTGTAGTTCAGTGGTAAAGTGCCCAGTGAAACAACAACAAAACACAGACAAAAACAGGAGTAGTAGACATTGAAGATGGAAGATGCCTTTTAACCTTGGGGTCTACTCAAGATCCCAGGGTCAAGCCTGCTTCCCTGTCATTCCTCCGAGGACCCTGGTGGACTAAGGGAGCTCTTGGAAGACTGCTGGGATGCTGATCCAGAAGCACGACTGACAGCTGAGTGTGTACAGCAGCGCCTGGCTGTCCTGGCCCATCCTCAGGAGGCCTACCCCTTCCAAGAGAATTATACACACAGCTGCCTACCTCTCTGCCCAGAAGACTGTACCTCCACTCCTACCCCTGCCATTCTCCCCTGTGGCCTCAGCTGAGGGCCTGTCACTTCAGTATTCATTAAGGCCTTGATTCCAGGAATCCTTAGTTTTATCTTAGTTCTCATGTGTAAATGAGCAGTTTATGTGGAATCTATGTTCATGTAAACATAAATGTGATCATGTGCCTATTTGGGCTGCCTCATGACTACCTTTCCCACTTGCTGAATCTGGGATTATTCTGTGGCATCTGGTTCACAGCAGTTCTGACCAGTGAATAGTGGTAGATGTGCACAGGAAAAAGAATAAAGTGAGCTTTCCAGATTTTTATCCTTGGCCTTCCACCTTTCATGTGACCCTGGGCCCTCCCTTCTCTCTCCTTTCTCCACTAGAACTTTTTTTTTTTTTTTAAATGGTGGTATCTCACTGAGTACTGTGGTATACACCTATAATCCAGCACTCAGAAGACTGAGGCAGGAGGATTGCAAATAAGGGCTGGAGATGTAGCTCAGTGGTTAAGTTCCCCTGGGTTCAATTCCTAATACCAAAAAATAAAAAAATAAAAAAAGATAAAGGGCTGTGAATGTAGTTCAGTGTTAAAGCACCCTGGGTTCAATTCCCAGTGCCAAATGAATGAATGAATGAATAGATAGATAGATAGATAAATAAGTGATGGGATCTCCTTCTGGGCACTGGGGAAAGAAGAGTGAACACAATGAGGTCACTGTACCTGAAGGTGCTCAGTAACCTGCAGCTCATATTGTAGGCTCTGTACAGGGTGGTGGAGTAATAGGGAAGCCTTAAGCAGGGGACTTCATAGAGCATGGTATGCTTGAGTTGGGTCTTGCTTGAGCAGGAGTTTCCCAAGAACATGGGGCAATAGGACATTCCTGGCCTCCGTAAGGGGTAGTAGCATACAGTATACAAAGAGAACACAGGTAATTTGGATAGCAAAAATGTAAGATGCATGGTGGGGAGACAAGGGAAGGGATGCAAAGAATAACAGGTAATGTTTTGTGAGCCCTGATAAGAAGTTCTTCCTCCATTTATTTATTTATTTTTGTACCTACTTTCCCACTTCAACCTAAGCTGAACACCACTTTCTGGATAATCTTTAAACATAATGTACACTACATCTTGCCTCTGCTTAACAGTCCACTTTAATTTTCCATTATAATTCTGCTAACACCATTTACAGAGGAGAAGACCAAGGGCTCAAGAAGTTCAGAAATGTGTCTAAGATCACATAGGTCACACAACTTTTAGATAACAAAGCAAGGGAGCCAGGTGTGAGTCACTTCTGAGTCACTTTGATAATCCCAGTGACTCAGAAGTTTGAGGCAAAAGGATCGTAAATTTGAGGCCAGCCTCAGCAATTTAGTAAGACCCTGCCCAAAATTAAAAAAAAAAAAAATTACATAGGACTGGGGATGTGGCTCAGTGCTACAGTGCTTCTGGGTTCAATCCCCAGTGCTGCAAAATAAATGAATGAATGAATAAATAAATAAAAATAAACAAAACAACAATAAAAAAAAAAAAAGCAAGTCATTAAAAATGTTTTACAGGGAGTGGTGGCACTTGCTTATCTATAATCCCAGTGGCTCAGGAGGCTGAGGCAGGAAGATTGCAAGTTGAAAACCAACTTCAGCAATTTAGCAACTACCTAAGCAACTCAGTAAGATCCTGTCTCTAAATTAAATGTAAAACAAGGCTGAGTTTATGGCTCAGTGGTTAAAGCCCCTGGGTTTAATCCCCAGTAGGGGGAGGGGGGAGGGGGCTCTTAAAAGCTGGGTGCAGTGGCAAAAACATCTGTAATCCTAGCTATTGGAAGGCTGAGGCAGGAGAATGCTTGAATCTAGAAGTTCTTGGCCAACCTAAGCAATATAATGAGAACCTGTCTCAAAAAAAAAAAAAAAAAATCATCTTTATGAAAACCCTGTAAATTATGAGAAATGAATGTACAAAGGAATGTACAAACATGTTGATGAGCATAGACTATGTTAGATAAACAAATACACCTATGATCACAAGAGAAACAGACAAGTTCCAATTGACAGACATTTTACAAAATACTTGACCAGGTACTCAAACCATGAAGGTCATCAAAAACAAAAATCTGAGAAACTATTACAACTGATTAACAAAAAAGATTGTATGATTCAGCTTGACATGACTGCTGACATTTTGAGCTATAACTACTATGATTGCCTCAGTGTAATTCTAGATAATTTTTTTTTTAAAGAGAGAGAGAGAGAGAGAGAGAATTTTTTAATATTTATTTTTTAGTTTTTGGCGGACACAGCATCTTTGTATGTGGTGCTGAGGACTGAACCCGGGCTGCACGCATGCCAGGCAAGCGCTCTACCGCTTGAGCCACATCCCCAACCACTAGATAATTTTTTGTTTGTTTTTTCTTTTGGTACAAGGGATTGAACCAAGGGGTGCTTAACCACTGAGTCACATCCCCAGCCCTTTTTAAATATTTTATTTACAGATAGGGTCTCACTGAGTTGCTTAGGGCCTTGCTAAATTGCTGAGGCTGGCTTTGAACTCCAGACCCTCCTGCCTCAGCCTCCAAGCTGTTGGGATTACAGGCATGTGCCACCATGCCTGGTTCTACCTGCACAGTTTTTGTTCTTCTTTTTTTTTTTTTTGGTTTGGTACTGGGGATTGAACCAAGGGCATTTTACCACTGTGCTACATCCCCAGCCATTTTTTGAGACAGGATCTTGCTGAATTGCTTAGGGCCTTGCTAAATTACTGAGGTTGGGTTTGAAGTTGTGATCCTCCTACCTCAGTTTCCAGAGTCTCTGGGCTTACAGGCCTGCACCACTAGCCTAGCCTCCTGCATAGTTTTCAAGCACACTATAAATAGAACTATTAGTGTGGTATGTGGAACTTTACAACCTGATCCTGGCTCTGGGAATATGTCTGACTCTTTGATATTAGCTTAAGATAAATCAGGTACTCCAGCTGGAATGAGTCACTTTTATTATAAAGCTCATAGACATGTCCTATGATCCAAATTGTGGGCACCCAACTGTACATTGAGGCTGGTCCTGATACACTAGGATTGGGTTGTTCTGGAACACGGAAATGGAGCCAAAACTAAATAAATCTGAATAAATCATGGACTTTCATTAATAAATCAATATTGATTCATTGGGGCTTGGGTGTATTTTAGTGGTAGAGTGTGTACTTAGCATGTGTGAAGTCCTGGGTTCAATCTCCAGCATCACCCCATATACTCACTGGCACAACACATGCATGAAACTGGTTTACTAATTTTCTAGCAAACATATCATTACTCCTGTAAGATGTTTATAATAGGGGAATTGTATGGAAACTCTCTGTACTATTGTCATAATTTTTCTGAAAATCTGAGATGATTATAAAAATAAAATTCATCTAAAAACATATGGTAGTAGGCTGGGTTGTGGCTCAGTGGTAGAGTGCTTGGCTAGCATGTTGTGAGGCACTAGGTTTGACTCTCAGCACCAGCACTGCATATAAATAAATAAAATAAAGGTCCATTGACTACTAAAACAAAACAAAACAAAAATTTAAAAACAAAAACAAAAATAAAACACATGGGAGTGCTGGGTTTGGTGACATATGCCTGTAATCCCAGAGGCTGAGCTGGGAGGATTGCAAATTTAAGATCAGCCTTGGCAATTTAACAAAACTGTAAGCAATTTAGTGAGACCCTGTCTCAAAATATAAAGGTTTGGGGACATAGCTCAATGATAAAATCCCCCTGGATTCAATTCCTGGTACAAATAAACAACAACAACAAAAAAAATTAGAGGGACAGGCGTGGTGATGCATATCTGTAATCTCAGCAACTTTGGAGGATGAAGCAGGATGATCACATGTTGAGGCCAGCCTGGGCAACACAGCAAGACTGTGACTCAAAAGATGCAAAGGGCTGGGAATGTAGTTGCTCATTGATAGAGTTTTCTCTGGGTTTAATTCCTAGTACCAACAAAACAAAACAAAAACAATATCACAAAACAAAACATATGAGAGTGCAGGGCCCCATATATGTAATTCCAGCTACTTGGAAGCTGAAGCAGAAGGATAGGTAGCAAATTCAAGGCCATCTTGGACAATTTAGTGAGAATCTCTCAAAATAAAATTAACAAGCATAATAAAAAAGGGCTGGGGATGTAGCTCAGTACTAGAGAGCTTGTGTAGTATGTTCAAGGCCCTGGGCTTAATGTTTGTTTTGGTCAGAGAGTATGGAATGTATTATACAATTCTTCAAAATTTGAATTACCTCAGTTGAGAAATGCTTGCCTTAGAATGTGACTGATTTTTATTTATGATCTCAGTGTGCTTAACAAGAATGAGCCTAGCTGGCATGATGGTGTAGGCCTGTAATCCCAACAATTTGGGAGGCTGAGACAGGAGGATCTCAAATTCAAGGCCAGCCTCAAAAAATTAATGTGATCCTGTCTCAAATTAAAAAAGAAAACAAATTGGGGCTGAGGATGTAGCTCTGTGGTAAAGTGCCCCCTTGGATTCAATCCCTGGTACAAAAATAAGTTTGTGTGTGGGGAGACTGAACAGGTTATCAGGACTGTGGCACATGCCTGTAATCCCAGTGACTCAGGAGGCTGAGGCAAGAGGATTGCAAGTTTGAGGCCAGACTCAGCAATTTAGCAAGACCTTAGCTCCCTCTCTTCCCCTCCCCCTTCCCCTCCCTCCTCCCTTCTCGGTTGGGCTTGAAGTTGTGATCTTCTGAGAGAGAGAGAGAGAGAGAGAGAGAGAGAGAGAGAGAGAGAGAAAGAGAGAAGTGGGTGGTGGTTGGGAATGTAGCTCAGTAGTAAAATGCCCTCAGATTCAATCCCTACTTTAAGAAAAAAAGAAAAAAGAAATGAAGGATAAGGCTGGGATATACAGCTCAGTGATAGAGTGCTTGTTTAGTATATGTGATGTCCTGGGTTCAACCCCCAATACTGCAAAACAAACAAACAAACAAACAAACAAAAAACAGTCCTTAAGTTTTGGGTCTAGGGGCTGGGGATGTGGCTAAAGCGGTAGAGCGCTCGCCTGGCATGCGTGCGGCCCGGGTTCGATCCTCAGCACCACATACAAAGATGTTGTGCCCGCCCATAACTAAAAAATAAATATTAAAAATAAAAAAAAAAGTTTTGGGTCTATGGTTCTATATATTCATTAGATCAAGTTTGTTGATTGTGTTGTTTAAAAAACAAACAAAGAAAAGGCTATTGCAGCAATCCAGGAGAGGATGGCTGGTTGGGAGAGAGGAAGATAGAAGTGGAAGGATTCTAGATGTATTTGGGAGACAAAAGGGATAGTAATGT